TATATCATAAACTCCCAGTTTCTTTCTTGCTGTACATCGCAACCAAAAAAACTTGTCAAATCAACCAAATCATTACTGTAAACAGCTCTATGCATGCTCCTATCTCCAAGACTTATAGTTCACAAAAAAATAACTCTTGCACGCCTTGCGTGCCTATGTTTTGAATTTTGCCGCTGTCTGACATATTCTGTTTGGCATATTCATGACAGTGATACACAAACTGAATGAATTTAAATTCTCGCGAGATTCCTGGATTGAATATAAAGTCGTTTTTTAGTCGACATTGTCTTTGGCGTTGTTGCCGTTGTTGCTTAAACTGCCTTAAAAATGTAAACTTACAAACCCCAGACATAACGGTATAATATACACACTCAGGATCAATATGCCACTTTCGATTTATTCCAATTCAACTTGATAGTGAAGCCTAGAGGACACAAACAAAAGAAATGAATAAACATGGCCATTCAATTTCCTTTTTTGCGTCCTCTAGGCCTCGCTGCCAAGCTGAATTTTAATATATCGAAAGTGGTTTATTGGCTGATGCTAAAATTTATTCGTAAATACAGATAGACAGAAAGATGTATATCCTTATTTATTGGGTATTTACTTAGGCTAATGAGGAGGCTGAAGTATCACATGAACAAGCAAGGATGAATATAACAAAGCTTCATTCATTTACGAAGGACTGCTATATAATATCGTCAATTTCATTAATACACGACCCCCGAATCAAAACTCTCGCGAGCATTTGGCGAATCGCTTCCGTCAATCATGCGTTCCTTATATGGTGTTATAGGAATGCCGCTCTTGTTTTCAAAAACATGGCGGCCACTGTGTTGGCTGTTCGTTCAACATGGTTGCTTGTCCTTATATCAAATTTGAATAAGGATGATTACACGCAACTTTTGGCAAAATTTGTTTAAAAAAATCTGTACGTAGGGTTCAGAGCCACCTTAAAGTTTTGAAAATTTAAGGTGGCTCTGAACCCTATGAACAGAATTTTTAAAACTTTGCCAAAAGTTACGTCTTGTCGTGCTAATTAGAATTTAATAATATAAAAAAATTCCCCGTGCCATTTTTGAATTAAAAGCCCCTAAAGCTGTAATTAAGGTTGTTTTTAACAGGTCGTACTGTTGGTATGGTAACCTATTGTGTCACGAAAATGATAACAACGTGTTCACCAATGATTGGGCAGTTTTTTGATACCATGATTGTAGCATCAAGTGATAAAGAGTGGTTATAACGACCCATCAAAATCTAAGTGCTGGAAACTGTTTTGAGCCACCTAAAGAGAATTTATGGAAAGTCACCTTCCATCTGCCCCATCCGTGAATTCTTACGTTTAAACTTCAGTCGTATGGACTGTCTGCCACGTTTGTCATGCAGCCAAGTATATGCGTCCTGTACGCAAAGTGTGAGTTATCGATTGCCGATAGTAATCGACAATGACTGATTCATCGATTGATATCGATTATATGTCCTTTCACAAGTTACAATGTCTATAATGGTTTTCTAGTGATTTAAATTATTTGCATTAGGAAACAAACGTAAGAATATATCTCGGAGTAGGCCAAAAGGAAAATATAATCTATTAGCATGCTTAAGATGAACGTCTCGCGTTGTTCCAGGTATTATTATTTTACACAAAAACAAAGCCATCTTTGAATAGTTCGGGTGCCAATTGCCATTTTTTCGTAAGTTGTTTGCCGCAGTACTCAAACCCAAAATTAGTTCTGCGTGCTATTTTCCAAGAGAAATCTATATCGAAAACGCAAAACTACTCAAAAACATATTCTTTGGCGCCGCGCATATATACATAGCTAGGGTAAGGTAATCGGTTCGATGCCCGTCATTCTCTCTGATGAGCATCTCTACTAAACCTACAGAAATACTACACGACTCGTAAAACATACAAAGGGATCACAATAAAATGTGATATTAGGTCATCAACAGATTAGGACAATTGGTCGTCCAAGGATACTAGCACCTAAGCGCTCGATAGAATAATTCCACGCACTGGATACTGAAGTTATTCATTTCTAAATATCTATGCGAGAGCTTGATTAATAACGTTCGCTGCACATTCAGATGTGCCTAATTTCCCTCTGAAATGGTCGGTACGAAACATTTGCATTCGTTTTTAGGAAACACTTAGTAGTTGGGAATACAAAAACTGTCTCGTTTGTTTGGATTCGCTACATCATGTAAGGTAATTTAATTTCAGTACAACCTGTTATCGATACCTTGGTTGCTTCGATCTTCCCTTCAGTTTTAAGCTATCGATAATCTTTTGCTGTCTACAACTAACGTTTTGCATTAGAAGCCTAATCCCAGCACGCATTAATAAATGAGAGAACCCCCAGCTTCTCTTCGTGTTAGGTTTCATGCTGAGATCGGATTAAAACGTCAACCATATCTACCATTGACAAACTCTGATTGTGTCCCCCTACTCAGTGGATCTTACTCCAGCTGTTGGCGTGCAAGACGGTGGCGCACATCTTCAATCTCATCTCTGGTTCTGTGTGAGGAGATCAAGCAAGACATCATCTTATTATAATCGTATAAACAAGCGGTAGTTTTGTTTCTCATCAGCACTACATAGCATATTTTTTTCTCCATGCTCTATTTTCATAGTCTTTGCCCGTTCACATACTATTGAAATGCCGTCAAGTAAACTTTCGAAACCTAAGTGTAAATGCAATGTCTTCCTTCCATAATTAACAAGTCATATCTCGTAATGTATGGTCAGTTTTATAGATTTTATGACTTGTGAACCAACAACCATATCAAGCAGAGCTTAGGGAAATGCTGTCGAAGTAAATATCACCAGAAAATTATTCAAGTCCATAAAAACCGAGAGCACTACGCTCTAAAGGTGCGTTATTATCCTGGTCAGGATTTATATATGACCCATTTTATGATCCAAGATCAATCGGGTCATGGTGCATCAAAGGAACCAATGAATCTTCTCTTGGCAAGGATTCTTCGGTTCCTTTGATGTACAGTAATGATCTGAGTGGTCCTGGATCATAAACACTGATTCAAATCTTCTCAAGGAACCCAGCCTTATTGTCTTAGCATAACCACGTGACTGAGCCAGAATATCGATAGAGCTGACATGTATAGCGACGCTTTTCAGCCAAGATCTGCAAACAAACGCAGGCTCTGTCGAGTGCTGTCTATCAATCAATCGGGATTGATAGACAATCAGTTTGCTAATTCTGAGCCTCTGAGTTAAGCTAAAACCGATGTTGAAGCACGCCTATGCTACAATGAAAAAGCCCAAAATACCGTTGAAGATCCGTAATGTTGTCATCCAGCACCCTCTCCTGCATGGTTTGGGACCTTTCAAGACATTCTTTTGCTTTGTGGAGTTCTCCCCTTTCTTTGTGCACCATACCAAGATCAAACAGAGACTTGGCCGTGTCACGATGATCCTTCAGCAACTCAAGTCGCATCTTCAGCGCTTTATCTGAATATTGCTTAGCGCTGTCGTATTGACGCAAAGCATAGTAGTTATTGGACAGATTGTTGAGGATGGTTGCCGTGAAGGGATGATCACCCAATTGTTCCCTGTAAATTGGAAGGGTCTGTCGCTCTCTGACTGCAATGGCTTCCCGGTGGTTTCCTTCAAGCGATAGGGCCACTACCAAAATAATTTACAAGAAAATATTATTATTCCTCTCTCTTGATACCTTCCAGTTAAGTACAAGGAACACTAATACAAAATTGAAACTCTAGATAAGACTCCATTACCAGCCGCTGTTCGGGAAAGGATGGGAAGAACCGCTAGGATCGGACTGTACGAGGCAAGCGCGTCCAATTGTTGGTGGGTTAGAATCCCAATCCGACTGGTCGTGGCCAGACTCTTGGCTGGTATCATTGTGTTGTGTTGATGAACAAGACTATTTTACTGTCGCATGGCCTCGCTGAAACCGAGGATATATATACAGTAAATGACACGTACCTGCCATATCATTGTATGTTGCTGCAAGCATGACGATGTCCTCATTCCCATGTCGTCGTCTAATGTCGATTGCCTGCTCGATCTTCTCTTTCCCTTCAAGGAAATTGCCTGCTTTTGCGAGACATCGACCAAGTTTGGAAAGACATTGAGCCCGACTGTTTCCGGTGTTGATGCTCAGATCCAGACTGCTCTGAATTCTGTCGCCTTCCAACAAATATTTCTTGGCTCGTTCCGCGGCTACATGACACAGACCCGGCGAACATGAGCAGTGGAACACGTGTTTGATTCCCAGGGAGGTGAGGCACTCACTCAATCTCTTTTGATCTCTCATTTCTTCAGACTTCCTTCTTAACAATGTGAAAACATATTCATATTTCTTCTTTCCAATCATCTTTGCCAGAAGCTCCCCAACGCTGTTGAAGACATCGATGCACTTCCCAATTTGTTCTGCAGTCATTTCTCCGTTGTCACACCACTCAATAAGTTGCATGACATTCTCTTCCTCCTGTCGGAAAGCTGTGATTGCGTCTGAAGCGTTCCTGCTAAGGAACAGTCTAAATGTGTCTGTCAGGAAGGCAAAAAAGTGATCGATGAACACATTCCGCGCATTGAAAAAGACTTCACGAAACTGATCTAATGCCTTTTCTTTGCAGTAGTCGCGAATGACTCTGAGAAAAGTATACAAACAAACACCCCCAATGATGTTCTGTTCCAAAAGAGATCGCTTTGCCAGTTCTAATGCATTTTTTGTGAGCTGACGTTCGTTCAGCAATGGTGAACAAAATATTTGTCCAGCTCTGGGCAGAGTAAAACGCCCTCTAAGAAGTGCCAATGTTATGAGGGTGTTCTGTTCTTGTTCAGAAAGTCTGCCAAAGCAAATGTCAAGGCAAACACCGATCTTTTCTTCCCTTGGGACTGCCTGAATCTTTCTCAAGAACTCAAACGTATCTTGTGGCAACGAGCAGTTCATAAGTTCCACGAGACTAAGCAGGTCGTGGTGTGACAAGGCTAAGGTGTAGAGAACGAGTGGAATGCCGCTACAAATCTCTGATAGCTGGTACGCCCATTGTGGGTCTTGCACCCTATCTCTACAAACTTTTTGCAGGAGCTGAACTGATTCTTCTGGTTTAAAGCAATCCAGATGAACCTCTTCCTGCCCTAGGCTCGGGAACGCAACTCTCTCTGAAGAGGTGACCAGTAACTTGACTTTTCCTGAGATCATCACAATTTCAGTGATGATTTTCATGATCGTCGATTCTTCGCATGCTGGGTCTTGTACTACTGCTCCTTCATGGGGCGTTTCTTGCCCAATGTCGCCCAGATGTAGCAGAAATTCGAAGTTGTCCAGCAACAACACCGTGTAGCAATCTTGGCTTTTCAGACGATTTTTTAGCTCCGATATCGGGTTGTCGACGGGGTAATGGTAAACTTGTTGAAGAGCCTTTTCTGCGAAATCGTCCAGAGAATTAATATATCTGCAGTTGATATAAACAACCACGGTACGACTGTCGGAGTTCAATCTGTCGTTTGCCACCTTGATAGCCGTGGTTGTTTTACCCACACCAGTAACGCCATGGACGAGAACACATCTGCAATCGTGTTTTGGACAAAGGTGACTGCTAATGGCATTGCATTCCTGGACACGACTGACAAAATGCGGTATTGTCTGAGGGAGATGGGAAAGATATCTGAAGGCTCCTGTGAAACAATTGTTATTTCGTTAGTCGACAACTTGTGTATATAAAATTCCCTCTACAAGGACGGGTCAGATAGATATCGCTAATGAAAGTGCTTTCCTAAAAGCATCAAGCTAAAAGACTGCAAAGCACCTAATAAGAACGAGAATCTGACAACAAATGAATATGGTTGTTCCCGGAACACTAACCATCAACCTTGTAAAGTATAATTATTGATAAAGTGGACGATGTCTGGCTGCATTCAGCGTAATCAGCTTCAGAGCTTTTATAGCTTTATCAACTCTGAATTTATCCAAGTTTTGTTAACGTTCTGTATAAGCTCGTTTATTTGTTCTTTTGGTTCTGTCTATATGTTTTAATCAATTGAATTGAAATTATGCGTTGGTCAGCAGTAGGGAACTGTTCATTCTACAATTCTCCTGATGTTTTTTTCTTGCCATTTGCCTCTCCCCCCCCCCCCCCCCCCCCCCCCCCCCCCCCCCCCCCNAATTGTATTGAAATGATGCGTTGGTCGGCAGTAGAAAACTGTTCATTCTCCAATTCTCTTGATGCAAAATATGCTAACACATTTGCCCCGAGAGAGGTGAAGAAAAGATTGTAAGACTGATGAGCAACTATGATTTACAGATTGATCAGACTGAAATAGGAATATGTTCAAAAATCTAGACAACTTTGAACTGTTTGTGCTCTCAACGTTAAAGAAGAAACATTTCCTACTTCATTGTCTAAACTATTACTCAATTAAAGACGACTCAGTTTTAGTAAAGAAAAAAATAGAATCCTGAATTTCAAGCAAATACCAGTTACAACAGTTGCAACATGCACTAATTATACAATCACTGTGCGCCACTGATAATTAAAAGGTTTTTAGAATTTAATATTTAGTTTTTAGTCTTTTAGGATTCTTGTTTAGCTGAATGATTGTATTGCACTGCGGATTTGATCATATACAAAAAGTCACGGCACTACAAACTTTACTCACGGCAAGACAATTTTATCTGACGGCAAAACAAAATTAACTCACTGCAGAACACCATTAATTCACAGCCAAACAAAATTAAGTCACTGCAGAACACCACTAATTCAAGGCAAAACAAAGTTGACTCGAGGCAAAAACAAAGTTTACTCACGGCAAAACGAAGAGTTGGGCAGCAGTTGGTCAGCGGTTGTTAATAATAATAACTTTGTTTACGTATCAATGAGATTTAGCATTACTGCTAATAGGGCACTCCTAAAAGGAGTTACAATTAGCAGGACTATGTGCAAATTAAATTTGCATTTGAAATGGTACGTCGTGTAACAGTAACACACTGCTCGCTCGGAAACCGCCGTTTTTAGTGCAGTGTTCCTTGTCTCGAGCTCATGATGTTTTGCAGCGCTTGTGGTTCAATAGTCGATCAAAATGCCAACTTTTGCAAAGGCTGTGGTAAAGGTACGTTTTTAATCTAAGTATTCGTACCGAGCAGCTTGTCCGACTTTTTACGTGCGGTGCCTATCGTTATTCGGAACTAAAAGAGATGCAAATACGATTACTTTACATTGAGAAACGTACCTTTACCACAGTCTTTGCAAAAGTTGGCATTTTGATCGACTAACTAGCCGCAAGCGCTGCAAAACATCATATGCTCGAGATAAAGGAGACTGCACTATTAAATAAACGGCACGCAATGCATGCAGAAGCGATGACGTTTCTTTTTGCCGACACTTGCAAAATTAGGATGTATTTGTATAGGGTATTTGAAAACGGAATTTGAGTTCATTTATCGACAGGGGTGTGAGAACAATTGTCACAAGTTAAGAAATGAATAATTGAAAAAAAAAAACGATCAGAAGCCTCTTCTGCAGTCTACAATATTTCCTTAGGAGGAACGTGCGATACAGCGTCTGCCTAGGATGCTAAGGGATGTGTGGATGAAAATAGGTTCAGATTAACAAAATATTTGTTTTTGAACCGTTTCTGCTTTTAGGCTTGCATTACGGCTGTTTTGGTTATGACAAGAGAATTTGCAAGCATTTAGTTCATGAGGGTGCAGGCCAAATCAACTACCATCTCAAACAAAATAAACCTACAACGCATGACTCCCACAAAATGTAACTTGTCCATTGAGCCTGCATTTTCAGAGGTCAAGTACGTGTTCTCCAATATACTGTTGCAGGGGTAACCATGATAACCAGGCTGTTTTTAGCACTTTTTGTTGTCTCGGTTCACGCAACTCGCTTACGTTTAAAATAAATTGGCAACAAATAACAGGCTTAATACATTGAAGTGACGGGTTTCAGTCACGCAGCAAAATCTAAAGATGACAATGAGTGGTTAAAAACTAACCCCTAAAGCGCATTTTCTGCGAATAAGCAAACAGGTATAATTCACAAAAATTAATTGTTAGGTCTATGATCAATATCTCACTGTATATATACAACATAGGGCATCCAGTTCAAATTGCATTCCGCAATGCTACCGAAAGCGTAACGCTTGCATTGTGTTTACTTTGAGAAGTTTTGAATAGCATGACCTGTTCATTCTCAAGAATTTCACGCAAAACAATGTTGAGCGTAAAGTCAACGAATTTGTCAAGGTACATGAGATGGAGCATAAGTTAAAGGCACTCTGCGGATCCTCCAAACTGCAAAGGTCGGCCGCAAAGGACAAGTTTCTCACTCCCCGAAACCAAAGATGGCAAATTTTTGGTGTGTCCTATTCACCAGCTCCCAAAGTGCATTTCGCTTCCACCTAGGGATAAATCGTGCGCGACACATTTATCCAGAGGAATGCTGCATGCCAGCCATAAGCGATGACGATGACGTCATCGCTTAAAAATGGCGGTTTCCGAGCGAGTAGTGTTACTGTTTCACGACGTACCATTTCAAATGCAAATAACAACCGCTGACAAACGCTGACCAACTCGTTTTCTTTGTTTTGACGTGAGTGTCCCCGTTCGCTCGCCGTGAGTAAACTTTGTTTTTGCTGCGAGATAACTTTGTTTTGCCGTGAATTAATGGTGTTCTGCCGTGAGTTAATTTTGTTTGGCCGTGAATTAATGGTGTTCTGCCGTGAGTTAATTTTGTTTGGCCGTGAATTACTGGTGTTCTGCCGTGAGTTCATTTTGTTTTGCCGTGAATTAGTGGTGTTCTGCCGTGAGTTCATTTTGTTTTGCCGTGATTTAATGGTGTTCTGCCGTGAGTTAATTTTGTTTTGCCGTCAGATAACATTGTCTTGCCGTAGTTTGTAGTGCCGTGACTTTTTATTTTGCCGTCACAGTTGTGGGCCACCGTAGGTTTTGGTTTTACTTCTGATTGGATGACAAAATGTTCGCATGTTTATGATTACACCCAATTCAAAATACGTTATGTTTCTGCAATGCTGGAGAAATTTATTTCAATAGAAATAACGCTTCTCTTTGTTGCTGTCGTTGTTCTTGTTCTTGTTCTTGTTTTTGTTTTTGATGTTGAGTCTTTCATGAAAATATAAAAGTTCAAATTACCTGCAAAAAATTCTTGTGTTGAACGTCTGGCACCCTCATGCTGATCTAGTAGGGAACAACAGTCGCCAATATCAATGACCCAGTCATGGCCAAGCTGTTTGCTTACCATTATCTCCCATCAACTCACTTTCCCATCCCGTCATTCCCTTATCAGTTTTCCATTCTCAAACTTCATTTCCATTACTATCAGCGAGACTTAACCTAAAATTCTGTAAAGAATTCGAAGTTTTGTTTGTATCGGAATTTGAATTCTTCAGGTATTGAAGTTTTATTTTGAGAATTTCTGTTACTGTAAGTTCAAAGCTCGTTTTCTCAAAACGAGCTATTTAGAAATTTTGAGAAGGATTTGTCCAATCGAGCTGAAATTTTCAGGATTTGGTATTCTGAGTAAGTTTTGTGTTTTACGCAGAGAACAATTCCATCCAGTGCATCTTCTAGAAGTTATGCTTTGAAACGCGTGCTGAATTTTCCATATCAGATTTAACTAGTCACCATTTTATGCGAGTGAGTGAGAGCGTTTTTAACTTCTCGAAAATCTCCCCCAAAACAGCAAGCTGTTTGTCTTCTTTTAAAAAATGTAAAAATTATTCCTTTTGATCAGTTCTTGTGAGAGTTATCTTTTCTCAAGTAAGCCCTGACATTCCCCAGCGGGTGGCAGATTTAATCAGCCGGTGTCAGGTTACAATACAGTTCTGAGGTACAAAAATATTTTTTCATAATCTTTGGCCTTCAAGCTTTCTAAAAATGTATGCTTTACCACGGTTTGGAATTAAATCTTAGCCACGAAGAAAGTTTAAAAAAAACAAAGTGGTGTGTTTTTTGGTTATAAAGTCCCGCCCTAAAAAGTTCAAATTACCTGGATTAGTTTCCTGTTTTATTGGTGAAGTTGCGGAGCCCGTATGTTAATCTGGCCGAGGAACATGAAGCACTTGTTAAGGACAGTGCCTACAAAATACATAGGTCTTTCCCCAGATTTAACTGAAGACCATGAGGAAAATGTAGATCTTACTTAGCAAGGGCTATTAGAATCCAAAATATGGAGGGTAACCACGTATTTTTCAAAGATGATTAGCTTTGAATCCCGAACAAAAATGCTTATCTCAGCATTTTCTCTTACAAGGGCGAAAAGATACTTCTTCACAGATGTTCATAAAGTTCGTCCTTCAACACACAAAACAAATGATCACAAAAAAACCACTGTTCAGTGGCTCAGCTACGCAGACTTTGGCACGAAATAATTTACTTGAAAAGGCTTGCAAATGTACACCAAGAGAGACTGAATGAAAGCGAAAAGCAGTGTCCAGAAACCAGCACAATTTTTTTCAGAAAGTGAAGACAGATTTTCAGAATAGAATTAAGCTTAGCACTGTAGTAAGGTTTATTGCCTTAAGTTCGGGGCTCGTCCTTTTTATACTTCAGTCGACAAAGCATATTATTTTCACTATGTTCACTGCAACGATTTTACACCGAATCTTCCCATAAAAACTAAAAGAAAGATATAAGGTTCAAAAGGCTCTTAAAAGTGTCGAATATTCGCTGGTAATCTAAACGTTTCGGGCTTAGCCCTTCTTCTTGATGAGTTTTTTGCTCATTCCTACATAATTAGAAGGAGACTGGGCAAGGAATATCTTGATTGCTTTTCAAAACGCCGCGCCACAAATTTTCCCGCCTTGTCGTACCATCACTTCGCTTAATTAAATCACGCTGAAATGTCCTGATTGTCCAGTTGATTGAAGAATTAAATAAAACAATCATGCCATCTAACACCTCGTACGTATCCAACGAAGGCTCATTAAATTTCCTCTATAATCTACTTCCGTAAAACTAGCTTTCGTAGTTAAATAGTCACGAATAGACTCTACCACATAAATGCCATTAAGTAAATGGGACCAAGAAAGAAAAATTCAAAATACCTCTTTGTCTTGAAGGAATTGGAATATGACTTACCGTTTTCACCCATTGCGTCAACAAGTCAACCAGGTCTTCCTTAACTAAAGAAGATAAAAATAGACTATAGCCTCCAATGCATTTGTACTCACGCTTGCAATTTATAAACGTAGGAAGAAATTCCGAACTTTCTCCAATGATTTTCGTCAGACTGCATCAGTTGTGTGTAATGTAATCAATGGCGGCATTTTATAACCTTCTGAGATCTCAACTTTTGCTCCAACGCTATGGGTGCCTGTTAGTTATTACAATGGCTGGTGAATCCTCTGTAGGAAAAAAGATGGCGGCTGCACATTTCACCACAACACCATGCGAGCCTAACACAGCCTGTAAAGTACAAGGAAAGCCACATTTTTGCAGTATTTCTCCCTGTGCTATCGACATTATGTACACTGGGTTTGAAGGTTTTGGAACGTTTCTGTACGTTTTTATGAGCGTTTTTTTAAGTTTCCGTGTGCTAAGAATTATGGGTAAATGTACTAAACGCCATCTTTTTTCCTACGGCGGATTGCTACGTTAATTCTCTAGTAAATTTTTATCGTCTTAGCTTTGTTTGGGTTTTTCCCTCGCAAATCTGCTTCTCAAATCAGCGTAAACATTTTATTGAAGTCCTTATCTATGAAGGCAACCACGACCGTTTGCAAAAAGTTCATGCCCTCGGGCAAATAGATATCTCGCTAGTTTCACACTAAACAGGAATCTTTACATCACATTGAACAAAAATAAAAGAACAGTAGATGTGCATTTTCCCTTGAAACGTACTGTTGTCTGAACCGAATTGATCTCTTAATTATTTCACTCTAATGGATTGCTCTTGTATAAGCCTTCATGTTTCGTCTACAAATGTTCGATCGCGTCAAGACAAAACGTAATAGAATCTCGAGTTGTCTGACCTGTCACTTGACACTTGAAAAGAAGGCCATATTAATAATCTTAACTCTTCCAAGCCAAAGGGATATTTTTGACCCGAAGTCTATATAAAGCTATCGTAACCATGCAACAAGCTCTAACTAGTTCGCCATTTTGCAAAGTGCATTCATCACTAATTATGGCATATTTGGGACGTTGCAAACATTTTAAACTTATACATTAAAAGTGCACAAGGCCTGCAAAAAAGACTCTTCACTCACAGAAGCGATCGCCGGACTGCAATTAGACTTCTGGCCGGCGAATAGACTTCCATAATTCACCTAATTCCAGGTCTCGTTAAATAAGGATAATGTAGGCGATTTCTCTTCCTTTTGAGAATAGCTTCCGTCGACACTAGCTTAATTACCCAGCAGTAGGAGAGCTTGGTTATTAGCAGCAACTGAAAGTCGATCCTGATACAAGTGTGCAAGACAGAGGAGGAATTAGACTGTTATTCGAACCCAATATCATCGATTCAGTGAAGTTGCAAACGCGAAGCAGGTTTCCAGAAACTCACAACTAAAAGATGTCTCAGCCAGTGCAACCCACGGCCTTGTAACTAAACGAATGATTCAAAATAGAGGTGATAAACAGTCCTCGTTGTTAATTCCCTGCCTGAATTAATTAACGGTTTACTAGCCTTCTACACACCCAAATGAATGTCTGAGTATATATATCAATATATCTTCATATTAGAGATCTGATTGGTTGATATTTATCTCCTAGAGCAGTGTCAAATATAATTATGTAACCCTGTCACAGAATATGAGTGACACTTCAAACTTGAACAGAGGCGTTAAAGGGGATTATACCTAAATAATTTTTCGGTCCAATATCTTCTCCGCCTATTTCAATACTCCTTGCCTGAGGTCATTACAGGCAGACAATAGTGCCACTGTTCACCTGCGGAAAGAAGACAAAGAGACCTTCGTGTTGGAGAAAATGACTGTGCTTGAAAGTAAAAAGTGGGAAGTAAAAACATTAAGCGTTTTCCTTTGAAACTCACTGACAACTGAACAAAGTGGATCACTTAATAATTTCACTGCAATGGACTGCTCTTATATAAACCACGTTTCGTCTTCAAATCTTCAGGCTAGGAAAACTCGTAATAGAATCCCGAGTTGTATGAACTGTCACTTGACACTAAAACAAGGCCAAAGTGGTAATATGCCAGGGATATTATTAACTAGAAGTCTAAAGCTATCGTAACGATCCGCTTCAACTAGTTCGCTGTTTTAGAAAGCGTAACACTATTTATGGCATTGAACATTGAACAATTCAAAGAAGGACACAAGGCTTGCAAAAATGACTTGTCACTCACAGAAGTGACTGCAATTAGACATTTGGCTCCGTCGATATGCTTACGTAATTTCGAGGTCTTGTTGATCTTTAAATCTCTGCCAAAGTCTTACATGGTCTAATGCTGGTGTGCTCGATCTCTCCTCCCTCAGAAAATTGCTATCGTCAACAATAGGAGATCGCTTGCTATCGTAAGTCAGTGAATAAATCTAATTATAAAATTCTGCACCAGATAGAGGCGGAAGTATACTGAACAGTCCTCTTCGAATCCAGCATTATTGTTTCATTGAAATTGCAAAACCTCTGGGAACTTCAAGTAATTTACTGCTGATGTTATCTTACCCTCTCATCTTTTTCTCAATGCAACCGACGCTCTCGTAGCGAACGAAATAACTCGAAATAGTTATAAAAACATTTTTCATGACTGTTTACCTCATTCAACTATCAGGTCGCGCATAATTTACTTCATGTGTCAACACCGCAGAATATGACACTTGATTGGCTGATTTACCAACTCTCTAGTGACACATACTTACTTTTATAATAAAGTTTCCATATAACGAGTGCTCTGATTGGCTGAAACAGCGTGCTTTGTCAAAGAACAGAGCTCGGGCTGATGACGGTAAGCTGGCTATCAAATTTTTGCTTTTACTATCACGATCAAAGGCAGGACCGCAAAACTGTCTCGATGTTTTGACCCAGTACTGCAGATCGTGGATGTTAAACATAAATCCCCCCAAAAAAACAAAGTTATGATTTTTTAACGACGAGCGAAAAAATATGACTGCAATTTTTATATTGGCAACGAAAAGATTGACATTGTCCAAAGTTATACTTACCTGGGAACTCAAATTTCTTCAACTGGGAACTTCACGCTGTCACTCGAACACTTAAGAGAAAAGGCTGTTCATGCTCTGTTTAGTTTAAGACGACGCATCGACTTCAGCCGTTTGAAACCATCTCTTGCTTACAAAATTGTTGACACAATGATTTCACCTATTCTGACTGATAATAGCGAAGCCTGGGGTGTCTTTATCAAATCAGACTTCAAGTATTGGGACACTTCACCGATTGAAAAAGGTCACTCACAGTTTTATAAACGTTATTTGCAAGTGAGTAACAAGGCTTCTAATATTACATGCCGTGCTGAACTTGGCCGATATCCTCTTATCTTTGAGATAAATAAAAGCATTCTTAAGTACATTAGGTATCTTCAAAGTAAGGAACAAAGCTCTTTAGCCACACAATCATTAGTGATGTCCTTTGACCTCCATCTTATAAAGATGCTCAATTATTACAATATTCCTTTAAACTTTAGTCATGACAATTTAGATGATACTAAGATCATGCGTTTTGTAGATCACATGCAGAAGACATATATTACTCACTAGAAACACTCCCTTTGCCATTCACGAAAACTTGAATTTTATAATGTTTTTAAAAGATCACATGCAGAAGAAATATATTAGCCACTGGAAACACTCCCTTTGCCATCCACAAAAACTTGAATTTTATAAAGTTTTTTAAGACAGCTATACACCATCGATTTATCTTGATGTTACTAGAAAAAATCCTAATAGAAAAACACTTGTGAAATTTAGAATAAGTAATCATAAACTCAATATAGAAACAGGCAGATATGATAAGATTTCGAGATGTGATACAATCTGTCCTGTTTGTGGCCTCAATATTGAAGATGAGATTCACTTTCTGTTTAATTGTCCAAAATCTTCATCTATCAGAGACGGCTTTTTTAGTAAAATAGATAATAGAATCCCTAATTACAAGCACATACCAATTTCAATTGCAACTTTAACTATCCGACTAATGAACTCTACTGATTATTATCTTAACAAGCAATTAGTACAATATGTATCATCCTGTTTAGAAATGCGAGACAATTTATTATCGAAAGTTTAATCATTGTTATTTGATTTACTTTTATCACTATTTTTTGTTATTCTTAAAATACTTTTGCAATGCTGTAACTCTCTTTTATGGCCATGCAAATAAAGCTTATTGTTGTTGTTGTTGTTGTTGTTGTTGTTGTTGTTGTTGTTGTTGTTGAGACTGGGCAAGGAATATTTTGATCGCTTTTCAAAACGCCGCGCCACAAATTTTACAGCCTTTTCATACCATCACTTCGCTTAAATCAAATTGTCCAGTTGATTGAAGAATCAAATAAAACAATTATTCCATCTATCACCTCATATCCAACGAAGGCTCGTGAAATTTCTTCTATAATTTACTTCCGTAAAACTAGCTAATGTGTTTCACGTTGGCGTAGTTAAATAGTTACGAGAAGACCGTACCAGATAAATGCCATTATATAAATGGAACCAAAAAAGATAAATTGAAAATACCTTTTCGAACGTTTTTATTCATTGCGTCAACCAGTGAGGTCTTCCTTAACTACAGAAGATAAAAATAGACTATCATTATAACACTTATTAGTCTCCAGTGCATTTGTACTCACGCTCGCAATTTATAAACGTAGGCTTCGAACGCACAAACTGGCTCACAAGAGGGAAGAAATTCCGAGCTTTCTCAAAAGATATTTATCAGACTGCATTGTGTGTAGTATAATCAATGGCGGCATTTTATAACCGTCTGAAATCTCAACTTTCGCTCCAACGTCATGGGTGCCGGTCAGTTATCACAATGGCTGGTAAATTGTTACGTTAATTGTCTGGTAAATTGTCTTAGCTTTGCTTGAGTTTGTTTCCCTCGCAGATCTGCCTCTCAAACTAGCGAGAACATTTTATTGAAGTCCTTATCTATGAAGGCAACCACGACCGTTTGCAAAAAGTTCATGCCCTCGGCCAAATGGATATCT